AATTCTTTCTTGTATTTTTAATGACCTTTTGCTTTTTTTCTGTATGATGTTCTTGATATCATTCTGCAATTCTTCTGGACTTCAATCTTTAGTATCTAATGCGTCAAATCTGTTCCTGAGATGGTTTCCAAATTCTGGTGGGATATGTTCAAAGTCATATTTTGGCTCTTGTCAGCTTCTTTTCATTTTCTTCAGCTTAATCCTAAACTTGCATATGAGAAATTGATGGTCTGTCCGAAAGACAGTCCCTGGCCTTGTTTTGGCTGATGACATGGAGCTTTTCCACCATCTCTTCCCACAGATGTAGTCACTTTGATTTCTGTGTATCCTACCTGGTGAGGCTCATATGTATAGTCACTTTTTAAGTTGTTTCAAAAAATATTTGTAATGGAGAAGTCATTAGTCTTGTAAAATTCTATCATGTGATCTTCAGCATCTTTTCTACTACCTCGGCCATATTTTGTAACTACTGATTCTTCATCTTTGTTTTCAACATTTGCATTCCAATCACTAGTAATTATCAGTTCATCTTGATTTTTATGTTTGATCAATTTCAAACTGAAAAAAATTAGTAGAATTCTTTAATTTCATCATCACAGGCTTTCATGGTTGGTGTGTAAATTAGAATAATAATGGTATTAACTGTTCTTCCTTGTAGACATATGGATATTTTCCTATTACAGACAGCATTGTACTTTAAGATAGAATTTGAAATATTCTTTTTGATAATGGATGCCATGCTATTCCTCTTTAGTTTGTGTTCCCTGCATAATAAAACGTATGATATATGTAAATATTATTATAGTACCAGAAAATAATGAAAATAGATAGCTTTTTATTATTTTTTTTGAGCACTTATATTCCAGGGACTAAGCATTTTGTATGAGTTGTCTCATTTAATCTTAACTGCAGTTCTTGGTGATATAATTACCCTTCTCTGTTCCCTTGCTCTGTGTTGCACAAAGCTTTCCTCATTGTGTTTCCTGGCTACACAGTGTGCTATAATCTCACTGCCAAAGCATCGCATACACATATATACCGTATGCAAATTCTGCTTGGCCTTCAGATAGTGTGGTTATGATTATAGCATATCTGTGGTCTAGACTGGCTAACTAGAATGCTAATAGATTACAGATGTGTACTTATTTGTCATGGGATTTGTCCACAATGCTAGAAAATGATTTAAACCAGTTATGCTTAATTATAAAGGTTGGAGTTACCAAATAGTATTTGCAGTGAAAAGGAAATGTTTTCTAAGAAGTCAAGGTTTAGACTCTATGGTGTATATGGAATAAAATCAAGTAGATAATTCTTCATGAATATGTAAATTTTAAAGATTATTTGTAAGGCTGATTTAAGCTAACTTTCTAGTATTTCACTAAGAAGTTTTATTTTGTCTTCTTTTATCATATAGAAGCTAAATAAGTAAACAAATAGGAATATATGATGTACTTTGATTTTTTTTGGACTGGAAATAAATTAGAAGTACAAGTTGGAGAAAGGAAGAAGCAACTAAAGAGAGGTATGAAGTTTTCTAGAAATAAGGGACAATGTCTTTGGCCATCATTTACTATGATCTCTAGGGACACATGGCTATTATTTTAGTACTGTACTTTAGTACTTGTTAGATGAGCTAGTGGTCTAGGAATACAGTGACCTAAATCCAAATTCCAAACCTCTTGCCATTGAGTTGATACTGACTTATAGTGACCCTATTAGGCAGGATAGAACTTCCTTATTGGGTTTCCAAGGCCTTAATTATTTATGTACATTTATGAAAGTAAATTGTTACTTCTTTTTTCCACCAAGGAACATAATTTAAAACCTTGATTTTAAGGGATATTTATCACCATTAAAGGAAGATTTTATTGCACACAAGAAATTTATGAAAGGGGTCCTGCTGTGTGCTGTAGGACAAGCACTGGACTGCTAACCACAATGTCAGCAGTTCAAACCCACCAGCTGCTCCTTGGAAATCCTACACAGAGTCTCTGAGTCAAAACCAACTCAATGGCACTTAATAACAACAATAATAATTTAAGAAAAGTCAACTTCCCTATAAATTTCATCCTCTTCTTCGAAGTACCTAACGTCTCTTCATTTTTCTTTTTAAACTATGCTAAGGAGCTCTGGTAGCATAGTGGTTACAAATCGGGCTGCAAACCGCAAGGTCAGCAGTTCGAAACTACCAGCTGCTCTGTGGGAGAAAGATGAGGCTTTCTGCTCCCATAAAGATTTATAGCCTCGGAAACCCTGTACAAGGTCGCTATGAGTCGGAACCTACTCCACAGCACGTAACAACAAGTTTATATAACCTGGTGTGTGGTGCTGTAGGATAAGCACTTGGACACAGGGTCGGTTTGAACTGCTTGGTTGGTGGTTCAAACTCACCAGCCACACCTTGGAAACCCTATACAGGGTTGCTATGAGTCGGAACTGACTATACAGCACTTAACAACAACAGCAACAAATGTGTATATGTATATATCCTGATGTGGCACTGTAGGATAATCACTGAACTGCTAAACCGAAAGGTCAGCAGTTGAAACCCACCAGGCGCTCTTTGGATATATATATATATGTTATAGTTGTAGTTATTGTTAAGTGCCTTTGCCTCAGTTCAACACATGGTGTCATAGTGACCCTATGCAAGATGTCACAGGATATCTATCTATCTATCTATCTATCTATCTATCTATCTATATAAAATCTGTGTGTGTGTAAACACTGTAAATTGTCAACTCAACAACATTTACTTGTACAATCCAGTGGCATTCATTGTGTTCATCATGTTGTTACCCTTATTTATTCTTTACTTTCTTCTTATATTGCATCCTTATGTCACGAATGTTTAGTGAGGATTTATTCTGTGCCAAGGAAACAGAAAGATGTGCAAGATACTGGCGTGTCCTTAGGAAACATGTAGACTAAAAGATGGAGTGGAGGGTGGCTGAGTTTACCTCTAATACAAATTAGAATGCAGATGTCAGACTCAGAGAGAGAGAGATTCTACTTGTGATTGGGGGGCATTTGACAGTGTTATCAGGTGGGACCAGTCCCTGGAGAAGGACATCATGCTGGTAAAATAGAGAGTCAGCGAAGCCATACCCAGTGAAATGAACAGACACAGTGACTGCAACAATGGCCTCTTGCATACTAATGATTATGAGGATGGGGCAGGCCCAGGCAGTGTTTTGTTCTGTTGTATATAGGATTGCTGTGAGCCAGAACTGATTTGCTGGCATCTAATACTAGGAAGAGTTTGCTTAGGGAGATAAAATTTCAGCAGGACTTTAAAGAATGGTGGACGGTGGATGGGTTGAGAAATGGGTGCATACTAGATAGAGATGTAAAAATGCAGAAGCAAGCAGATAGAGCAAACAATCTATTCTGGAGCCTTGGCTATGTGTAGAAAAGCATGGGAGCCTGTTTTCAGAGTGAACATTAACCCAGTGTTGATGTTGGCGATGTGTGTTGCTTCAAAAAGTATTATAGAAAATCCATTGAAATGTTTTCATTGAATTGTTACACTTTTGGTAGATTGCTGTGTTACCAAAACATGTATCATTCTACTGTTTATAAGTGGTGTTGAAATCTGTAACTTTGGATACAAAAGAAACCACTTAGGTTATTTAGCATGTGAATACAGATATGCTACGTTCTATTTCTTACATAATAAATTAAGTGTTAATTTAAGGGCATCTCCTTTGTGCTTGAAACTGTTATATGGTTCAAGAGTCAATTTTGTTTGTGACTTTCAGCTGAGCATGTAACTTTAAAAAGCATGCTACCTCAAATAATTATTTTTCAAACTGTTTTGAGGGGAAAGAACATATTTGGACTACAATTATGGTATTCAGAAAAAACATGAGTAAAGTGCTTCTTTTTAAATGTTTATCCAATGATGTTATGGGGAATTCAAGGTATGGGGTTTATTAGTTTTTATTAATGCTTAGAAAGTGATGTTAATATCTGGGGTAGTATGATGGTGGTGGTGGTGATGTGCTGTGGATTTGGTTCCTACTCAAAGCAACCCTCTGTAGGGTTTCCAAGGCTGTAAATCTTTACAGGAGCAGTAAACATCATCTTTCTCCTGCGGAACAGCTGGTAGTTTTGAACTGCTGACCTTGAGGTTAATAGCCCGACTCATAACCACTATACTTCCAGAGCTCCTTTGATGAAGATGGTCTGAAATCCTATTTTTTCCAGAGAGCTGTTATATCATAAACTATGCTTTGTGATTTTAGGCCTGCGCCCCATTATACCACTGGAGGACTGAAATGAAACAGGAGAGAGAGCCTGTTGGAACATGCTTTCTTCAAGACGGAGCAAAGACTGTTGAGTATGCTCCATGCAGATCAAGTATGTATAGGAAGTTGTACCAAATTTTAAGAGGAGTGGGAAGCCTAGTTTGTTAAAAATGTGTGTGTGCTGTGTATGTGTGTGTGTTTCTCTATGAGTTTGCCATGGAATCAAAACTTACATATAACATTTATAGATATATATGATGTTTGATGAAAACAATTATATGAAGGTAATGAAGTTACCTTAACATGCTGTAAATAGGTTTATCTTGTCTCCCTAAGAACTAATTTTCATATTCCACAGTTAGTAATAATTAATGTGTAGTTTGTTGTTGTTGTTAAGTGTTGTTGAGTCACTTCCAACTCATAGCAACCCTGTATAGGGTTCCTGAGGGGTGGCTGGTGAATTTGAACTGCCAACCTTGCAGTTCCAGCCGACCTTTCAGTCAAGTGCCTATCATATAGTGCCACACCAGGACTCCATGCATATTTTAGACAGCCCATATTTTTAATTAACATTGGTCAAAAGATACGCAACTAAGTCTGTTTTAATAGAGATACTGCCCTCCCCCACCCCCAACACACACACCTAAAGATTCGAATTTAGTAAGTCTACGTCAGACATACATGATTAACAAGTTTTATTAGGTAATTCTGTGATGGGTACCAAAGTTTGAGAATGTTTTATATTAGTAATGATAAAGAGCAGAGTTTTTATCAGATGGTAAAACAGTAAGCTCAAGAGTCTGAGTTTGGTATTTCTTGCTCTTAAGCAGTTTCCTTATTAATTCATCACCAAGCTCATCCCTCCTTTGATGATCTAGAAAAATGTTAAGATTATCTATATTTATAGTTACAGTTATGAAGAGTTTTAAAACTCTTTGTGTCCCTTTTTCCATGGGGACTTAGATCCTCTTGCTAATCACTACTACAGATCTTCTTTATACCAGAATGAAGAGTACTGGGACACATTATGATATTTATGCCTGGAACACTTTTTAAAAAAATATTGTGGTAAATATATTTGTAATAAAACATTTCCCATTTCAGTAATCTTCATACCTGAAACACTTTTTATGCTATATATATTTTTTTAATTAACTTTTTATTGTGAATTGGGTGAAGGTTTACAGACAAGATCACAGCTCTACATTCAGCAAACTATACACCTTGTTTCTTCTCAATGATTAAAATCCCTTCCCAGCAACAACATTTATCCTGCTTCCTCCCTGTGGCTCTCGATTTACCTCTTATATTTCACAAATGAACAAGGCAAAAATATTCGACGTACGCTTACAAAACAAAACAGAATATATATGCTGCTTTTCTAGGTAGGGATCTCATGCTCCACTCATACTTTTCATTCTTGATGGTTCTGGAATCATCTGTTTCTAAAATGAAAGATTTACTAGTCCTCCCTTTAGTTACGCATCTTCTACAGCTACAGTTGTGGCTATCACAATTAATCCTGGAAACAGTTATTCACAATTCAGTCATAAAATCCTGTCACTAACGTTGTCCCCATCCCCTTTCACCAAATCCATCTAGGAAAGAAGGAAACTATTCAATGGGGAGTCTGCCTTAACCCCTTGTTCTGCAACAAAGCACACTCATGAAAACTTGAAAGCTAGCCACTTCTTGCCTTTATAGCTGTCCTATTTTTCATAGCCAATGTTGACATTTCTCTGGTAGCGTAGTGGTCATGAATCAGGCTGCTAACCACAAGGTCAGCAGTTCGAAACTTCTAGCTGTTCTGCAGGAGAAAGATGAGGCTTTCTGCTCCCAGAAAAATTCACAGCTTCAGAAACCCTGTGCAGGGTCATTATGAGTGGGAACCAACTCCACGGTACTTAACAACAACGACATCAAGCCAGTACACTGAGGAAAGATTATTCCTTGATGTAAAGGATCCTTCCATGGCGGTTAGAATTTTGAGTCACTGCATACATAGGCAAAAGTCTGATTTGTCAAATTGCGCTTCTTCTCAGTATCAAACATCTTATTCTTCCTTGGTTCTTGTTCTAGTCAACTAGCCATTCAAGCTAGGTCAAGTGGGTACTAGCTGCAAGTTTGGGAGTTCACACACACCTCCCTACACTTCAGACCAGCTGGCCACTCCACTGTCAGTCCTAGCCTCCACAGGCTAGGTCAGTTCCCATGGGCTTAAGAGTTTATACATTTTCCTCAACTTCAGACTAGCCAGCCATTCCTCTTCTTACTCTCATCTCCAGGTCAGTGAGTATCAATGAAACATGGCCAAACTCAGCCTATATCTTCATTGCTGCATTTTCCCCACTCACAAGTAGACCCAGGTGGTCACCAGCAAGCCTACTAGACTGATAATGGGTTTCCTTTCAGTTTCAGTCCTAGAAGGGGATTTTCCTTGATGGGCTGACTGTCTTTCCTTGATGCCTCCAAAGCAAACAGCTCGCCTGATATTCAAACAGCCAAAGAGTGCACTATTTTTTTTTTTTTAAGATTTTTATTGTGGATTGAGTGAAAGTTTACAGGCACATCATCAATTTTACATTGAACAAATCATACACCATGTTTCATTACAATGATTATAATCCCCTCCATGTACCATCAGTTAATAGTATTTCTCTCTAATCACGTTAGCTTTAAAAAAAACCACACACACAAAAAACACTCGGTCATGTATAATAGTTTACACCTCCAAAGGGCACATTCTACAAGTCTGCAAGCCAGGAGGCCACCATCTCTTAGTCCCTGTCTTGCCATGAATCTGGAGTCCTCAGTCACTCCCCCTGTCCGTAACCCCATCTCTGCCTCTGTCTCTGACGTTGCTGCTTCTCTGGATAAGGTCCCGCATTCTCTTGTGCTCTTCTCCCTTGATGGTCCTAGGGTCCTGTGTTTCTGGACTATAAAGATTAACCATTCCCCTGTTTTTGTTACAAAGATTCGACCTTCACAATTGTGACAGTCGCAGTTAGTCATGATAACTATTATTCACTACTGATTCCATACGAATCTTATCCCCATCTCTTTTCACCAGAACCATCTAGACGAGGTGAAAACTATTCAGTGGGGACTCTTTCTTCACCCACACACTCTTAAATTAAACTCTCTCTTGAAACCTTGTAAGCCAGTCACTTCGTGCCTTTATCGCCCCCTCATTTTAGGTAGCCAATGTGTAAGTTGCACGTCCCTATCTACCCTGTGGACAGAAGGAAAAGCATTCATATTTGATGTGAAGACTCCTTCCCTCTCTGTTGGTATTTAGAGTTACTGCCTCCATGAGTATAGGTCAGGTTCATCAAATTGTAGAATTTACCCTTGTTTCCTTTTTTTTTTGTAATCTTCCTCTAATTGAGTTCTGATTATCAAGCCATCGAGGCTAGGTCAAATGGGTACTGTCTACAAGTTTGGGTGTTCTTGTGCATCTCCCCTCACTTCATATCAGCTG